CTGCAAATACCAATGAATTCGGCTAGCTTCGAACGCCTCAACTCTGCGTATGCACGAACGTGCCGCCATTTGTGCCGCCGCTGTGGTTTTAACACCTGACTCAAAGCGTCAATTATGGCTTTAGCAAGGTGATACATCCAAACCTGAGTTCCTCACTCTTCTATCTTGACGTAGGCCCGGATCGTGATGACCCTTTAGTGAGGTTTCGCTCGAGCTTGCTGCAGAAACAAAGATTCTTCTGTGAACTATGTAATTAATTCCCCGCCCTCCCCCCCTTCCCCCCACCGCCCGCCACGAACGTCAAGCTAGAAGAGTGAGCAAATCAAGCTCAGACGTGGCAAATTGCCAAAACAGTAGATGAAGCATTTGCTTCTGGTGCTAACCTGGTGTTAACACCACAGCGGCGGCACATTCGCGCATCCCAAATTGCAGTTTCAGATGCGAAGTTGGGGGCTGCCGAATTAGCCAAATCCAGTAGTATTTGCAGCGGATTCTGCTCTCATGGAATGAATGTGGTAGGCCGATTGGGGGGGAGCAACAGATAATCCCGACGCGAAGCACAGGAGTTCCTGTCACATACTTCCAGCCAAGCAAAGGTTCAAAACTAAATCAGCAAGCCCCCTTTGTCCCTCCAAGTCTCTGTGGATAGCCGGGCTAACATACCCTCAGCCCTCAGCTGCAAAGGCAAGCAAAGCTCTCGTGCGACAACAAGCCCTTTCAAGCCAATTTGATCCCTTGGACAGTTCACTGGACTTCATCGTTTCTGAGAGTTCGACGCATACAATGGACAAGCAAGTTGAAACCTTAACTTGTTCAAAGGATGACAGACCTGCTGTAAGTTGCGGGCCCATTCTCTCAGAATCCCAAAATGAGGGGCCATTACGCATCCCTACGTTAGTATGAACATTGGACAAAATTTGATACTATGAACATTACAGCGCATGCAAATCTGTGAAGGCTGCAGATACTGTACACTAAGACATTTCAAGCTGTTTGGAAGCTGGTGAATACCGTATTTCATGCCATTTGGAGCTTTTCAAAGGCTGCAGGCCATGTAAATTGTAGGATTTGGAGCTCTGCCAAAGATGCAGTGACTATTACAAAGTAAGGCACGTGAAGCTCTTCGAGGTGCATACACCGTGAAATGCACATCTGCGGGCAGTGCAAGTGGCATCTCGAATCACAAGCAAATAAAAATATAAGATGCAAGTGAATGGAGTAACGTAGTGGCAGCAGTACTAGCAGGCACAATAATCGCAGAGCTGCAACAGTAGCAAAACCAATATGCAGTGGACTTAGCTAGAACAACAGAACGGCACGTAAACCAACAGCTGATAGAATTCTGACCATGATATGGCCACCCATGAGCAGAGGACAAAACCATTCTGGGTGGCGGTGGCGACGGCGGTTGTGGTGATTGCGGTGGTGGTCGTGGTTGTGGTTTTGGTGGTGGTGGGGGTGGCGGCGGGGGTGGCGGCACTAGCACATTGGTAGTTGCAGTCGCAAGAACCCACAGCCTCAAACTTTTCTGTCTACAAAACTTTTCACCCGTTCGATGGGGCAAAAGCCATAAATCCATGGAGTCAGTTGTTGAGCTTGGACTAGACTCTTGAAATCTCTTGAATACTCTTGAGCAAGTAAGCATTAGGTGCGTCTGGGCTCGCGCCAGGGCGTTGGGCTATACCTGCATGTCCTGCACTTCCTCTCCCAGCTGAGCACGTAAGGTTCCGGCCTCTGGCTTCCGCGTGCTGCGCTCTTTTCAATATGCGCGAAAAGCCTCAGGCGAGGATTGCATGGCCCGGCAATACGAGTACTAATGCGTCAATGTGTTGTCTATACAATCTAGACTCTAGTCACCACGCCTGACACTCGGTTGCCCTCCAGCTGAGGCATGGACTGAGTGGGATGCAACTGGCTCGCTCAGCAAGGGGCGTGGGGCAGGACTGGGTTGAGAGGGCATATGGCCTACATCCCGGCCCTGGCCCTGTAGCTGTGCAAGCTCTGCAGCATCCAGAACACCATCTCCATTTGCATCTAAAGCATCAAAGAGAGCCATGGCCGATGCTGTGGCAGCAGGGGCAGCGCCAGCTGCTGAAGCTGTCGCAGCTGTAGCGGCCGGCACTGCTCCATTGGGTGCCGGCCTCTCACCATAGGACACGTACCTTGCTGGGGCGATGTGCATCGCTGGTGCTGCAGCCAGGCCTGTGGTAGCCACTGGCGCTGCACTTGGCAGGGCATATGAGACATAGGGGGCAGACAACGGGCTTATCTGCGCGCTAGGCGTGTAGGCCAGAGGTGTGATAGCCGCGCTTGGATGCATATATGGGGTTCCTGGTGGTAAGGACGTGGGCAGAGTTTGTGGAGCAGAGATCCGCACAACACTTGCAGGTGCCACTGCAGCATTTGCCTGCGGCGGTTGAAGAAGCGCTTGATTTGCAAGAGGGCTGGCAGGTCCCTGTTGGGAATGCCTCTCTGAAATCAAAGGCGCTTCTTCTGGTTTCTCTACGTCAGCAGGTGCGGGGCTCTCGATTGCCACACTTCGCTCACCCTTGCGACGGCGCCCCGTCCTAAGTGACAAGATTGCCAGTTACCGTATGTTCGCATAAGCGTGGCGTGAGAAACGGCACTGCACTGTCTTTGCCAGAGCCGGGAGTCAGGAGGAAAGTGCTGGCACAGCAAGCCAACATCACGAGCAAAGCTGCAGCCACCAAAGCCCACACGGTGCCATGATGCCAGGGCCCTTTGCCGCATTCTCCCGAACAGCTATCGTCCTGAGAATCCGCAGACAACAGAATTGAAAAACGGCGGACGCTCTCGGCTGACAAGGAGGGAGCAGCTGCAAGAATCGAGCCCAGCAACCGCCGTCACATCTGCCATGATCTCTGCGGCGTCGCTGGCCTCCTTAGCCTGGCACAATGTAGTTCCAAGCTTCAAGCAAAGCTCTTCAGGAAAGCATGTGGCAACTGCCTTGATCCCTGCCACAGCTCCAGGCTTTTCCGGTTCGGCAGCTTGTGATTCAGCTTTTTTTGGCTTTGGCCTCAGCAAATTGGCCACGCCATCAGGTGCCCGCTCATGATACCGATTACAGTTAATAAAACGCACATAGATGCACACATAAGGGGTCCACCTAAATCAGAATCATTAAATATAGCCGTAATAAGAATCATAAGAACAATGGTAGTGATAAGATGATAACAATGATAGTAGTGATAAAAATGATCATGCTGATAGTCGTGGTGACAGTAATAGTAATAAAAAGTGATTTTCAAAATAATAAGAATGATGATAGCAATCTGCATTATAACAAATAACAATCATGCTGATCGCAAGAACTTTGATGGCAACAATACAAGACTCACCATAATACTCATATCATCAAGGCTAATGATGATCATATTCAGTTTGGTGATAAGACTGATGCAAATAGTAGAAAAGTCGTACCAACAATAACATCGAATACAAGATCAAAGTAATCATCATACCAGTAGTAGCAAAAATAATGGCAAAATTAATGCGAACAGCAGTCATAGCAATTATGGCGGCATTGGCAATAACAAGAACAGTGCATGGATGGAACGATAATTCGATGGATGTCTGGATGAAGAACGGGCTATTAAGATGTTATTCGCTGCTCAAAACGCTTTCAGGACAACCGCTCTCTCGTTTCAAGCTTCTTGGGCTCGACAAATTGAAGCTCGGGACTTCTTCGCAGGTTGGTGGCCTTTTGCTGGGATGTTCTTTAAAAAGGTGACTCCTAGAGCTTTGGTGGTGGAGTCTAATTTTCACGGTTTTTCTGCACGAGTCTTCAAAGCCATTATCAAAAATCACAATACATGCTTGAGATGCTTATTATGCTTGTATCATGCAGCAACAGAAGGCAGCGAGCTGTCTGCAAGCCATTTTGAGCAGCTGCCTAAATTGTGTATCAATATCGCTCAGCAATGTTTAGCAGTCGCTTGGGGAGCCTATCGCTCTACCAGGGTTTTGCTCATGACTGGGAACCCCTACACGATACTGAAGGCGGTCGCTCATTTCAAAGCCACTTTCGTGGCAAGAGGCTGCGACCTCACCCCTGTTTAAAAAACAATTGTTAATTCCAAGATCGTCTTCTGGTCACCACCATGTCTTTAAATGTCTTGCATGCCGTCATGCCCCCAACTTGAGGGCAATAATAGGCAATATGATACAACCTGATGCACTGTGCCCGCGGTCGCATACCGAAAGTTCCATGATCATCTTGAAGCCCAACACCTCCACGAGCTGTATTCACAATGCCAAGCATCGGCAAGGAAACGAGACGTGCTAGCTAGATGTGATACAATGCCAAACTGTGTCCAAGTGAGGTAGGCCGACATCGTCGCAGAAGGGTTTTCCGCGGCAACGAATCTGGGAATGTGAGACTGGAATTATTCACTTGCTTTTGGCCCTCAGCGTGCAACATCTACTTCCTCATCTTGTCCGTATAACATCAGTGGTTTTGCTTTGTCGTCTGATCTTGGTAAACTAGTAGCTAAACCATGCTAAATCAAGGACTAGACAAGAGGTTCTGCTAGCTGCCAGACCTTGTCAACCAACTCATTCTAACACACACACACATGTTTCGTGTCTACACAGCATTCTTTGCGGTATCACCGACGGGGCGACCCGAGCACACGGATAATGCGGATCCAGGCCACGCTGAGCTGACAACGATGTCATGCGCAGTAAACGCGCCGGAAGCAGCGGCTTCCTCGGCGGCTGATGTGCCGACAAGGCCTGCCTCGTGGCAAGACATCAGAAAAAGGAGAGCAAAAACAATCTCCCATGCCTACAGGTTCTTTTAGCCATCTCTCTGCAGCGCGGCAAAGTTCACATGCGGCCGGGCTGACTTGCCATGTTGCCCCAAAGAAAAGATAAGGAATGTTGCGTTTACCGCTTCAATGGTTACGTCCAGCATGCTAGACTCCTCGTGCCGGCTCAAACATGATCAAGGTGACGGGCTTGGGCACTGCCTCCTCAGCATCCAGGCCTGCATTTGTGGCGGCTCGCCTCAGCTGCTGCACGGCTTCACACACCACTAAGGCATCCGCGGGCCGTGCATTGTGAAAGATGCTAGAAAGGACCAGTGACTAGGCCACATGCTATTCTGCAGGCAAACAGAGTGCTGTGTGTGAAATGGTACGAGCCTGCTTTGAAGACTGCATGTGCACGGTAATGCTACGGTCCACACACTTCACTAGTGTTAGAACTTCCTCCTGTAGCAGACGCTCTGGTATCTTGTGACCTGGACTAGATCCAAAACTAAGACAGCCCATTCCTCTGACCATTGGCATTGTCTTAAAAGGCAATAAACCGAACGATTCGTGGCACCAGGGTCGCAACCTCAAGAATAACCCTACCAGCATGACTGCTGACACTGCCCATTTTAATAGGATTGAAAAGCCAGGACGACAGACAGCTTCAGAAGCGCGGCTTGTAGCATTCTGCTTTGGGAGATGGTGGGAGGGGGTTGAAGTTGAAGTTACATGAAGACTTCATGAAGATACAAGTGGAAATGCCCGCTTGCTGTGAAGAAGTGCTGTCCCAAACCAACTGACACGAATGATCCCCTCCTATTGAGAATGGCTGCACCTTTGTCGAATCCGAGTATCACAGCTGCACTCCTTGCTGCTTCCTCTGCTCCGACCATTGTCATGCCTCCATTCAAGGCGGTCTTCCCTGCTGCTACGGCGGCTGCCTCCGCTTGCTCCGCAGGTCTTTTGCCTTCAGCTGCTGCACCTCGAGCAGCTTCTGCACCAGCTTCCGCAGCGTCCACTTCGGCGGGGCTCTTGGGAAAAGTGTGCTCTTCAGCCTTGGCTTGCTTGGTGCCCTCTGCCAAGGGTGCGATGGCTGCACCTGCAGGCCCGCTTGCAGAGCCACCTTCAACAGCGAAGGTAGCGGCCCGGGCAATCTCTGCAGCTTGCTCAGTGGAGCTGCCGGCATGTATGGCTGCCTCTTTGGCCGCCTGCAAGGTAGCTTCGGGTGAGGTGGCTGCAGCCTTCGAGGCTGCTTGGAATGCAAGCTGCTCTGGCGTCGGCTTAGGTGTTGTCTTCTCCGCTGCTGGCACTGCTGCGGTTTTTACTTCCAGCGGGGCCACCGTTGGCACCGCAGGCATACTTGCGGGCAGGACCGTTGGTGTTGCCATTGCTGCAGGTGGAATTCCTGGCATGATTGTTAGAGTTGCTGAAGACGGGCTCTGGACTTGATTGGCGCCGGGCTGCGTCTGGTGCAGCGCATGCATTGTTTGAAGCGCCGATTTCTCCGCATCTGCAACTGAGAGACTTGCAGCCGCTGCGTAAGTCCGAGCTGACTTGACTGCTTCGTGCAACTGGGCGTTCGTATCCATGCCTGCAGAGGCTGCAGCTTTCGCAACAGATGTGGTGATGGTTCCAATCAGCGCTTCACCAGACTCACCAGCTGCTGCAGCTGCGGTGTGAGCTGCTGCTGCCGCAGCTGCCAACGCCGAATCTTGGCCATCGCCGGCTGCATTTGAAGCGCTGGCAGCGCCGGCTGCAGCTATGCTTGCGGCATCTGCTGCCGGTAATCCAACCTTTGCCGCCGCGCTGCCGGCGGCAATCGCCGCAGCTTTTGCTTGCTGCTCGAATCCCAGTCCTGCTTGTGCCGCCACTTCTGCAGCTGTTTGGGCCACCTCTGCCACTTGTTCCTGCTTCGTGCCGGCTTTAATTTCGTCAGCACCCTGTTCAACGCCTGCGGCGGCCACCTGGGCTGCCACCTCGGGGGGAATTCCGTTTTGCGTGGCCAGCTGCTCCGCTGCAACAGCCGCTTGATGCGCTTGTGCTCCTGCTGCAGCGCCTGCTGCCGCGGCTGACACGGCTGCAGCCTCCGCTGCGTGAGCAACCTGTTGGTAGGCCATGCCACTCTGCGAATGATCCGGTACTACACATTCATGGTGCCATGTCGTGAAGCTCAAGTTGCCCCGGCATTCCTTTGGCGAGTCTGCACCATAGCTCTTCCGACAGCAAGCATTTCCACGCCCACAGAAGTCGCAAAATCCGGAGGTCTGCTTGCACTCGTACCAGCAGTCCTGGCCAATGTTTTGCAAGAATGGGGCAGCCACGGGACTTTCCAGAGCCACTTGCTGTGGGCTTTGTCCAGCAGCCACTCCTGTCTGGTGCATGTGTGTTGCACTTGGTGTTGCTGGATTTCCTGCAGGTGAAATTGCTGCTGAGTCTGCTTCTTCCTTCGCTGCTGGCACAACGCATTCGTGATGCCAAGTCTTGAAGCTCAAGTTGCCCCGGCATTCCTTCGGCGAGTCTGCATCATAGCCCTTCCGACAGCAAGCATTTCCACGTCCACAGAAGTCGCAAAATCCGGAGCTCTGCTTGCACTCGTACCAGCAGTCCTGGCCAATGTTTTGCAATGATGGCTCGCCAATGGCAGTTGCAGCAGCTTGCTGTGCTGCTTTGGCATGTTGGGTGCCTCCTGGTGATTTTGCCGCCTTGGGAAACAGCAATCGTGAGTGGTGCCTACGTAGGCTTGACATGCAGTATGGCCAGCTTGCCGAAGCCCGAGATGCCTGTTGCAAGTGTGCATCATCGGACCCCATCGGATGCCAGGAAGGTTGTCCCGACTCGCAACCTCTCAATGGAGATCATCAAGCATCTTGTATATGTGTGCGGGCATGCCAAGCAAAGACTGAAGGGCTATGACGACGAATCCTCGGATTGAGTTAGCATGCAATATTTGAAGCTGGAACGTCCGGTGAGATCGTGCGAATGCGTGCGTGGAGTGCAAGATATGGTTTGCGCCCCATGGAGCTGCGGACGCCGTAGCAGTGTGGTTTCTTACTCGTGCTGCAGCATGCGCAAATCCTGAGCCCGTAACATGCGCACATACCACGCCACTTCATAGGACAGTTGCTCAACTTGGATGACAGGGAAACTGCTCAAGCCATGAATTTGTGGGCGTGGGCGCTGTCGGTCTGTGTGCTTCGCGTCGGTGCCGGCGGGAGATTAACATGTCCATGTAAAACAAGCTGAAAACGACACGTCTGCCGGCGCGCGCACCCTTTGCCTGCAACCAGTCGGGGTCCGGGAAGGTCTCTGAACGCCTGGCCAGCACCGTGCTTAATGAAGTCGTACGGCTCACCTTGGGGCCATGCATGCCTTTGCAAACAATCATACTAGTCGGCATGGTGTTCAAGCATGTTAGCTGCAGTTCGAGTCGCACAGGTTATCGTTGTTTGAATGGCAGGGCTTCCCACCACACCAAACACAAGGCTGGCTTTGAACTTTGAAGCCTGCGACTCTGATGAAAGGCCGGCCGTCTTTGCCTTGCTGTCAAGCTTTGAGCCAGAGCATTCATAGTGGTGCAATGCAGAACACCATATCAAAATGCAGTTGGCTCCAAGGCACTTCTTAAGCATTCCTGCTTGTCCTTACAGGCATGCGGGATACTACACTGCTCAACATCTAACAGCGTGGCGCTCCACGTGGTTCGACGGCTGAGGAGGCGGCCCGGATGTTGTTGCATCCCTCGAGCTTTAGTGACAGACATTGCACATCGTCCACCTCAAACGGCGTGCCATGGTGGAAGCACCTGCAGAGACAACGGTCATGTGGAGTCTTGCCTTGCCTTTCGCCTTTGCACAAGGCCCAGACTGCGCAGTCTTGCGATATTCCGTCGATGAAGCTTTTTTGAAAACTACACCTTCGCCACGTTGAAGCCAGTCAGATGGCTCGCCTCGAAGTCACAGAATAACCCAACTGGATCAGCGAAGCCTTTAGATTCTAGATTAAAGTACATGACACCTATGTACCATTCCGCTAAGTCAGCAACAGAGATTGTCGTTGTCACCTCCGTGTGCAAATTGATCACCATCTGAGTGCCGCAACCCCAAAATCAAAGGCTCCGGCTTGTACATGGCTTCCCACCACACCAAACGCAAGCCTTGAGAATCCAAAATGCAGCAACACTCCGCAGATAAAGATGTCCAAAACAAGCTGCCTCTCCACCAATGCGCAAGCCCTTCTCCGTTAAGCCAGCCCGCCCATCCTCTGCAACGTAATGCTAAAAAACCAGCTGACATCGATATCCATGCAGCAGGTGCATTAAAGAAGGTCCTTACTGCTCAAGCATATAAGCTTGTCCCGGATCGCCCCGCATGAAACGGCAGGCTGCAAGCAACCTTCATCAGTCTTGGTGTGCCTGCAGCTTCACGAGATCTAGCAGCTGCCCCGGTTGCATAACCAAACAAAACTTGTTCCTACCAGTGCTGCTGTGTTGCGATATTGTTGGAGGCAACATGCCCCCTAACACCACATCTCCCGCCCCCATTGAATCACCATGAGTGCTGGAGTGGGGTCTTGACGGACTTGCCCTTGACACACTTTGGTCAACCGCCGGAGACGCTGCAATGCAATGGGCTACCTCAAGTGCTCCAATGCTCTCGAAGGCATTTGCACTCACAGTGTTTGCCGTTGTGCTCCCGAGCATGGAGAAAGACGTGCAACCAGAATGTGAATCACCATGGCAGTCGTTTCCTCCACACCAGACACACGGGTCTGCCTCCCCATCCCGGAGACTAGCATCCTTGCTGCTCAAGCAGTCCACTCTGTGCAGAAGTGCTGCACAGCCATCCTTTGCGAAGCTGAGACAGTGTGCTAACTTTGGCTTCAAGGACTTCAATCCAGAACCACCCCCGACAGCCGGCGATTTCACGTAGCACTCTGAACCAGGCATGCTCACGGAATGTAGGACTGGGACATTCCATAGCCGGCATATTTTTCGAGCAGCCACATACTGTATAGCCTGGCATGGCCCTGTGCAAATCTCTTTGCATTGATCTAGATTGTCAGCGGACCAACCTTCTACCGCCTTGTCAGGGCCCACCTCCCAAGCTCCACTGTGAGAAATGCCGCGGCAGGCTCTATTCTGACCACCGTGTAGCGGCTGCAGACCAGCAAGAGCAAAGCGCAAGAAGTGCAAAAATGTCAGCACCTCGGCCACGAGCATAACAGTGCGGGATGATCGCTTTTGGGAATCTGTTGCGCCTTCGCTTGCAGGCAAGGCACTCTGAAAACTGCGGTCACCGTCAAGAAGACCATGCGTCCCAGCTTGCTGGGACAAGTGTGACAATGCCGGTATCAAAGGCACACTGAACCCCGACCAACAAAAAACAGCCTTGGGCAAGATGCAGAAGCGACCGAGCACTCAGACTGTCAGAGGGCAAATTCATCACTCTAACTCCAGGCAAGGCAGGCTACAAATCCTCTGTAAAGCTGACTTTCTGCATCGGTGCCGAATTCTTCTTGGGGAAACTACGGAGCGCGCGCCTTTGGCGCGGAGCCACGTGCTCCAGTCAGACAGCCAGATTCTGAACTGCATATTGCGTGCAAAAAACCTTTGCCCCTGAATCACTGCAGGCACGGTGGTTTTGCACAGCAGGGAAAGAAGGTGCACCCATCCTTGCTGCCGTACAAAGGTCCGACCTGAGAACTTTGATGCCCTGTGGCACAGTGTTCAGAAGCAACTCTCCTGCCGCACCTTGTGCTGAGCTGTTCCGAGGGGACACGAGCTACTGGAACTACTTGAAGATCCGGCCTGCAAAGGCAAGGAGATCCCAAAGTGCGAAGGAATGCGAAGGCTGCTTGGACCCTCCCGAATTAAGACTGCGCCTCTTTCCGACTGGATCATCTGAAAGACCGTGGTGGCCTTAGCAGTTCGTTTCGTTGGGTTCGAGTGATTTGATTGTTTGCGCTAGGTTTCGGGCAACTTCTGGACTTCCTGGATTTTTGTCGGGGTGCCACATGCGCAGAAGGTCCTGCAACTATGCACGCCTGAGGTATTGATGCAGTAGCTGGGGATGGCTAACCTAGCCCTTGAAACCTCCTGCCTTGAAGCCTTTGTGCCGAGCTTCTTTGGAAGGGTTCTGCTTCAGCATGATCCTCGGCTGCATGCATTCACCGTTTCTATCCAATCATGTTCTAGAACTGCTTTCGCTTGCTTTGCGACCTCTTGTTTTTTCTGTTCGCCGCGGCCCGTGGTTCTTGGCTCCACAAGACGAAGCCGGCCACCATCATCATCATCATCATCATCATCATCATCATCCCAAACGAAAGTCCTTGATGACCACGAGCTCGGGCCTCCAAGTTGGCTGCGCTCTCTGTCGGCAGAAAGGGACAGGCAGAGGCGGTTGGTATGATTCCAAACCGCAGCGTGGAGGCCATGCTGCTTATGACCCTATGCCTTTTTTAGTGGGCCCCTCTGCGAAGTAGAGTCTCGTTATGGCTAGCCAAGCTTCAGCCGCGAACGGCTGAATGCTGCAGCGCCGTTGTCAGAAGTATAACCGTAAATGATGCCTACCGGGTTTGCGCTTGGTTTCCAAGAGCATCTAGCAATAGCAATGTCCATGGCATGAGCGCGCTTTTCAAAAGCATTCATGCTAGCTGCCCACATAGTGACATCAATGCCTCACGTGTAGCTTTGTTGACGGTGCAAATGTTGGCCCAGATGTGCTCCACGCTTTCCAAGAGCATCTGTGCCATGCCAGGTAACTATGTCCTCTTTTTCGGCACAGTCTTGCGAAAAGACTCAACAAGAGGGACCGAAATGACATGCAATAGAGGATAAGCTTTAATAAGCTTGCTGTCTAGCAGCCTCAGCTTTGCATATACCCAGTTGCTTGTTAATTAGACGTGACCACAGGTACGTCGGAAGGCACAAAAACTGCACAAAGCCTGCCAAAGAGGAAGGGGTGGAGCTTTTTTTTTGGATTTTGTGTGGGGAATCTTTTTTTGGGCTACCCTCACACGAGAGCACGATTCTGAGGCAAAAAGTGCAAATAATGATGGAAATAATGAAAACTGATGGAAAATTGCGAGAATGATGGAAAAGAATGATGAAACATGATGAAAATGAGAAAAGATGATGAAACATGATGCAATATGAGGTCTTGACACGGAAAGGGTGCAAATGATTCAAACTGATGAAACATGATGAACAGCCATGAAATATAATGAAACTGCTGAAACAACTTCATGAGCATGAATTATGGAGAAGATGAAAGTTGATGAAACAAGAGAAAATAGAATTAAATATCATGTGAATTATGAAAACGATTGAAATGATGAAAATGATGAAAAAACTGGTGAAAACGAGATGAAGACATGGAAATGGTTGAAAAGTGATGAGATTCAACATGATGGAACACCATAAAAAATCATGACATTCATGATCTAAAACCATGAACGGGGCGCAGCCCCCCCCCTCATTTGGAAACAAAATGATTAAGCCTCCCTTATTGATGACATGATGCTCCTTTGTTAGAGAAAGCTTGGAAGATGACCTTCAAAAAGAAGGCGGATTGAAGGAGGCTAACCCTCCACTTGCAAACAACATGATCCGCATAATCCTCCCTTACTGCAAGCATACGTTTGCTCCTTTGTTACGGCAAGCTTGGATGGCCTGAAAAAGCGAAGGGTTGGGGGCGGATGCAGCCCCCCACCCACTTGCAAACAACATGATCCACATAATCCTTCGCTACTGCAAGCATCGTCTTGTTTTCTTTCTTTACTTCCTTCTGTTCTGTCTCTTACTATTTCCTTTCTTTCTGTCTTCCATTCTTCCATTCTTCCGTCCCGCTCATTTCTTTCTTGCACGCTTCTCCTCGAAGAGCATCGAAGAGCAAATGTTGTCGAGGAAGCCAAGAAGCCAGGACGCGGCCCCAACCAAAAAAGCTCCAATACATAGGCCCTCCAAACAGGAGGAAGGTCGAAGGACGGAGAGAGTCACCGCCGATTCTACTTTCTCTTGGGAAGATTGGAAGGGTGCCAGGTCTCCGGCAGTTGCCGCATAGCAGCAGCCTTTGCAGCTTGCATTTCAGCCTTGGTGGCTATTGGCACATCTGCTGCAACACCACAGCCATCCAAAGGGCCAAGCGCTACCAGAAGATCGCATATCAACCTGCAAAGGCAAAAGGCGATGCTCTGACACTCGAACGCATGCGCAACAACTGATTGGCCAGCCTGTCCATTCCTGGAGCCCGCGCTTGCTCTAGATTTGCCGGCGCGATGGCGACCTGCCCCGGAAGCCAACGCGAGCTGAAGCAGCAACTGTTCACTTCAAAAGATCAACATCGCGGATCGTCCTGGAGGCGATGGCGCCGATGGCGCAGACGGGCGGGAGTACCGCGGAGGCGATGGCTCCTCCTGATGGTGATGCCTTGGTCTCTGTATCTGAATCTATGTATGCCGTATGCCGTCAGCATCCATCCACTATCGGTCAGCTCATGCACATGTCATCACTTGCGTGCAGGAAGCCAGCTGGAACCCTCATGGTGGCCGCGCTGTACCTTGATGCAAGCACAAGTGACAAGGCACCGAGAGACACCCCATGTCTGCAGTAAGCGCAGTTAAGGCGGCATGTCATTGAAAGCCGCAGCAGATTACCAAACCGGATTGCCGGACATCTGCTGTTGATTATCGTAACGTGTTGTGACCCATTTCTGGGGCTCATGCTCCTCCACTGCGAGCAACTGGTGGCCTCGGCCAACTGCACTGTCAGTCATTGCAGGAGGAATTATTAAGCCAGGTACCGACACGGCCTATAGTAAGAGACACCAGCGGCCGCAACAACGGTGGCACATGCATAGCCGCCAGCCAAGGCACAATCCAAAGCGCCAGGAACATATCCAATTCCCATGTATGGCATTCTTGCTGCACTGCATGGCTTCATAATTCATACATGGAGTTGGGGGCTCAACGCGGGGCAGTTTCTTTTCACATCAATGAGCCTCCTAGTCGTCGGTGTCAGCTGCGTTGCGGATATTAGTGCTCTCTTTTGGCACAGGTCTGGAAGAAGGCGTGATAAAAGATGTGCAGTTGTAAAGGCCCGCAGCTGCTCCGTAATCTAGCAAGCGCAGGACGTGGTCTCACACGCCTCATGGACAAAGCCACCGGGAGGCGATGCCGCGTCCAATAGACATGCCCCAAAGGGTGGCCTGTCCCTCCCCATGCTCCTGATACAAAATACAAACTGCTAACAGGCTCCAATGTTGCCGTTGGGCCGGCGAAATCTTGGTAATGCTGAGGAAGTGCCGTAGGCACTGCTGGTTTGAGAGCATCCTGACTGAATACGATGGGCACTGGTCCTTTGTGCCCACGCAGCTGCGACACATGTAGGGCAATTATTCCTCTGCTTGTCTGTGTCCAAGCCCGGCATATCTAGGAACCCTACTCTCGGGTTGTACACCTTGCCCATCTCCAGTGGATTGGACTTTCCAGCACCTAATTTCCTCGTCTTCACCTTTGACCTGGAATAAAAATGTGATTTCACAAGGTAAAGCCGATCTGCCATGGTCTACCCAACAAACCTGACGACATTGGATCAAAATCCTCGCGGCAACGAAATCGAAGCAACTGATGACCTTCGGCTGCTACCTCATGCTCTGCGCGCAGGACTGATGGTTGAATGGAATCTGCTCAAATCCTCCGTCTGACCCAGTCTGAACCCCGCAACCCAGTTTCATGTCCACGTGATTGCTTATGCAGAAGCCATCGGGGGGAGGGGGAACTAAAGGCGCACAACACGAACACTTGGCCGCACGCGTGCTGATCCTGGCCTGCCATGGATGCGGGAACACAGCACTAGACCACACGTTGCTACACACGCACTTCTTTAGTTGCAGGTCATCACAGGCAAGCAGCATGGATGGTCTGCATTGCCTTCGCTTCAGGCTCACAGCGTGCGCGCTGCGATGCCTGCATGTAGGGTTCCAGGGGAGAGAAGGAAAACACCCCCTTCAGATTCCAAGGTGATTTTGTGCCCCCAAGACATAATACAAGGTCATTTTTGGCTATATGTTTTGGTTGGGGGGGGGCGTCATTTCTCAGAAATTTAGAACCCCAAATCGCAAAGTGACCATGTACAGGTTTTTTCCCCACCCTCGCAGTGGGGTTGTTAGATTTTAAAGTAGATGTTGTGCTCGCCCGACTGGAAGCTGACTTTAGTTACCAACCACCAAGTATCCCTGCAGTGCCCAACCACCAAGTATCCCTGCAGTGCCCAACCGCGGAGTATCTCTGCAGTGCTTAACGGATGTGCCCATTCGCAGAGTGTCCCTGCAGTGCCCAACCATCAAGTATCCCTGCAATGCCCAAGCGCAGAGTATCCCTGCAGTGCCCAACCGCAGAGTATCCTTACATTGCCCAACCGCAAAGTATCCCTGCAGTGCCCAACTGCAGAGTATCCCTTAGGGTGGGGATGCTCGAAGTAAGTAATTGTTTTTTACATTTTGACGTCCCCTCCTGTCAAAACATAAGGATTTGCAAGCTTTTTGTTGATGATTTTTCAGCTGCAGGGGGTTCGTAGGGGTAGGGGGTTGTAGGGTTTGGGGTTCGTAGGATTTAGGATTGGGGGGTTTGTAGAGAGTAGAGGGTTCATAGGATTAAGGGTTTGCAGGATTTAGGGTAGGGGTTCGTAGGAAACCGCCCCCCAGTCTATAAGCACACACCCTTTTTTTGTGCAATGGGGTGCCTGACCATTTGAAAAAAGACACGCGGATGTTGTCTTATGTTATGAAACTTTGCTTTATAAGTTATAAGGGTGGTTAACCCCGCCCATCTCATAGGGAATCTGAAGGGGGATAGGAAAACCATACTAGAATCTCATCTTCATCAGTTCATTGGCACCTGTGCTCTTGGTTTGCCTTAGGCTTCAGTCTGCTTCTTGTGGCATGAAGCACAGCAGGTCCTACTAGCAGCATGTGCATCTCAATGAGCTTTGCTTGTGTGCTGAGTGCGAAAACCCAAAGATCACCCATTTTTGAGCACAGTAATGTTGGATCCCGATTAGCGTGGGGTCCCCTGCTTGTGCGAACTTTCGCCGAAACTATTCAGCACCCCCTAGATTCGTTTGGGGTCCCTTAATTGTGCGAAGTTGCGCGGCCAAAAAAATAATTCTGAGAACAATGAACTAAAATAAATACATCTAAGTTGCTTCGAAAAAACATGGCGGGCAGGAAGTAAGTATTTAGTTTAGGGTCCTTATCCAAGTGGCTCTGGTTACTTAGACTCCAGGACCTGAAGTTTCCGGAACTTCAAACCTGCTTTAATTTAAGATTCCAAGCCTGGTCCAAAACTAGCGATTTCTTATGAGACCGCATATTCGAGCAGGCCTACAGTAGCAATCATTTTTCCTAAGGGGTAGTCCAGCAGCTGCCCGGATCCTGAATAATACGAATGTTTTGGGGTCCCTTAATTATCCGTAAAATCCGGGACTGCCAAAAATAGCAGAAACCTAAAACCTTTTAATTTCTAAGGTTCAGCACTTAAAAGGCCTCCTGTTAACTTTATTTTAAACCTAGGATCCGAGGCGATCCTGCTCCCTCCAATTGAATTTAATCTAAACCTAGGATCCGAGCCAATCCTGATCCATCCTATTGAATTTAATCCAAACCTAGGATCCGAGCGGATCCTGATCCATCTTATTGAATTTAATCCAAACCTAGGATCCGAGCGGATCCTGATCCATCTTATTGAATTTTAATTCAAGCCTAGGATCCAGATTCGTTTGGGGCGGCAGGGCCCCCTACATTAAATAGAGGCCAGTCTTTTTATTTGGGGGGGAGGGGGGTGTCCCCCTACACTAATCAGGTCCTCTTTAATTAATTTGGACGCAGCAATGCCACAAGGAGTGCTGTTCGCCTTCGGCCTGCACGACCTCTGAAACACTTGTGGAGGGAAGCAAAAACAGCGCACATGATGTACATGCTGCACCCCTGTTACCAGCAGTCATTAGACGTCACTAGCATATGAACCACATGCACCCGTGCAAACGTTCCACTCACCCCATTCGTCCTAGTCCTAGTTACAACACCAGCAAGCTCCACCTTCGCCTCGAGCTTGAACGAGATCATCACCATCACCATCACCATCACCATCACCATCATCATCATCAGCCGCTGCTGGTGCTGAAACTTGCGAATTCAGAACAGCCCAGAACTGTAAAAACGAGGTGTTATAAGGCGTCTTTGCTTCTACATTTCTACATCATCGACATGACCATTGGAATCTGGATGTTTGTCCCCAAAACACCCTTGCGTTTGTTTGACCGGGCGACTGTGCACCTGACGATTGGGAAGTCCGCTATCTCCTTGCTCCCGGTGTGGCTCCTAAATCACGGGACGTTTCACAAGCTCAACTAGTTGTGACCAAGCCACAAAGAAATCCTTCCCATCTTGCGCCGCTTTTCGAGCGGCGCTCAAGAACTCCGCCTGCGCGTAGGTGTGGTTATGTGAGGCTTCCAACTGCTGCAAGGTGTGCAACTCTGCCTCCTCAGCAAACTTGCGACGCATGGCTTGCTCCCAGTCTTCTTGTTCCTGTGCACACGATGTTGACATACATTGTGCGGTGGGCTGCTGGCAGTTTGGCGCACCTGTTTCCTTTTCCTGGCTTCTTCGTGCTCATGCTGCAGCCTTCGCAGCTCCTGTTGCTTTATTTCCTCGTCTGCACGCAAATGGTAGCTTGCGATACAAATGTACGAAGAGGATTGGGGGCGAAGACTTGCATGGACATAATTTAAACCTGGAACCCTATGAACTGCTGATGGATGAGTTTGTTCTGGGATACCCTCGTCCTTCCCGAGCCAGGTATATGTGGGAAGTGCAGGTGCACTGGATGCAAATCACACACCGCGGTATGTAGACAAATCCCTGTGGCAGGCTGTATCTTGGAATGGCGTGGTGCCTGGAACCCAGATCTGAAGGATGCCATGGCATGATATGACATAACGTGGCTTGCATGCGGCAAGGCGGCCTTGCATCTTCGAACTCCTTCTTTCCAGCGTTTCTCCTGCTGCTCCTTTGCTGCACAAGTTGGGTGGCAGCTGCGCATCCCGCTTCGCAGCTTTCTTCTGAGCGCCCTATTTGAGCATTGTGTTTTTGTAGTGTCAATGATTTCACGCAAACGCATCATAGAACCTGAGCAAAGTATGCCGGATGGCGTCCTCCATGTCCTCCTTGTAGAAACAGGCTACGCCGGCTACGCAAGGACACCTGTGCTATCCTGTCACGCACGCGGACTACGTCCCATCCCTTGCTGATGCAAAATTCGCTTACGCACGAGCTGTCATGTTCTGAACACGAAACATACCAACTACGCAGACTACACGGAAAGACATCTAACGTGCCTACGCGAGACTGCACCGCTACTCGCTGCAGGTTTGACGTTAAGCAAGCATTCTTGACAGCTTCACTTCCACCGTGGCTCGCTGCTCATTTACAGCCAGGGCCGGGAGCTGGAACACAGACCGGAACAAACAGAAGAAATGTTACGGAACGGTATGGAACGACAAGCTCAGAATTTGGCCGAAACGACGGGACAAAAACCGTGGCAGCCTGTATGACTGCATGGGAACATTAATGCAACAATTGAGGTGTAGGACATCCCCACCCTGCTGTCGCACATGAGTTTGCAGCTGTATGGAAGGCAGCTTCGTGCATCGCAGCGCGGTATTTGAGTGAAGTTCACATCAGGAATCATCGGGATGACACAGCCGCACATAAAGTTGTGAAACCAAACAGCTACGGAAGGTTGTTGCGTTCTCCTCTGCTTCGATCTGCGCTTTGCGAGCTGCGTCTAGCTGCTCCGCCTGTCACGATGCTAACCTGTTCCATGATCTGCAACCAAATTAATTATCCCACGGCCTCTTCTGCTATCTTCTGGCGCATTGCTTGCTCCCATTCTGCTTGCTCCTCATGCCGGCCACCAAACCAAGGCACAACGCATCGTCAGAGGCTGTTGTTGATTCATGTCCGGCCTGTCTGCGTTTTCTGATTTCTTCGCGTTCCTGCTCCAACTTCCGAAGCTCTTGTTGCTTCATCTCCTCACCCAAAAAACATGGGATGCATGCAGCAGGAGACGCATAATCTCACAGCCTTTTTTTTTTGCAACTGGCTTTTCTTCATTGCTACACGGATTTGTCGGGTGGAATTTGCGAATTGCTTGTTTTTATGCGTTTTATTTTCGTGGTTTTCTGAACAATCACAAGATGTCACAAGGATTGCGGGGGTCAACAGTCACAGGGATTGTAGGGGTTGGAGCTGCGATGTTTTTGGCAGAACATGATGCAATGGACACATAAAGACTAGCTAGCATATCTATCGGCATCGGTTCGCGCATCGGTCCCTTCATCTTCATGAAGGATTATGAACATGATGGAAGTGATGGAAATGTGATGAATAAGGATGCAACATGATGAAAGATAGAGCTGAGAAGCCGGAAAGCCAAGAAGCCAACGACAAAAACAAACACGAACAAAAAAGCGTGGAATAAATATGCTTCCGAAATTAATGGACGTCCTGGCCATTGCACAACGAATTGTCTGCATGGAACTACCTAATTCCCAACACATGCAAACAACAACTGAAGGCTTTCACGTTTGGTACTGGAACGATGTCCTCAAAACGCTGCTCCTGACAAACCGGTTTGGTGCAACAATCGAGCAGACTTGAAGAAAATGCGCCTCTCGACGATGAAGCTCACGGAAATGATCCCACGACGGGTTGGCCTGAATAAATGATGCCCGTTGTGTGCAACATGTGCAACAAGAACGTATTCCTGGAAACCTGATATCAATTGCTCACCTCAGCTTCTGTAGGTGGATAGCCGCCATGTTGGGGTTCCGACATTTCAACCTAAGAAGCACAAGGGTCACGACGTGCGAAAACGTCATTACAACAGCTGCTGCCGCAACAGCACGCAGCGACCGTCCATCATTGCCCATTCAAGCTTTCGACCTCATCCTTGCGCTTCACACGGCTGAGGCGATGTGCAGCAGCAATCGCCTGCCACATTGTGATTGCAGACCAATCCCGGCAACGTGAAACATCGCATTTGCTGTGTTCGCCTCCAATTCTTTGGCCTGCCACGGCTGCACGGCGCAAACTTCAAAAAATACTTCATCCGCCAAAGATGCCTTGATTTGCCAAGGTTCCTGTGCAGCACCCTCGCCTGCACAACGCGAATTTCAAGGCGCTTTGCGATTTCATGAAACCCCACCTGCTCCCGAATCCCTCCGCAACTCTGGCACGCGGACTCCTCCAACCTCAGCACCACAACCATCCAAAACATTCCACAACCATGCCATCGTGATTCTAATGATAACAACAATTACGGTGGTGGGGCGCTTTGTTTGGGGCTCGGCAATAGGCGGCTCACCGCCTGACCGCATGCTGGACTTTGCAGCCGATACGGCAGCGGGCCCAGCAGGCCGCCCTGCGACCATTGCACACGGCTGCACGCAGTTCCGCCAGTAATAAACCAAGGAAACACACATTGAGACACCCCAATTGTGCAGGCGCAAAAGCGTGAAACATAAAGACAACACCCCAGGCGCATGATGGGGCAAACTGCGAGGCAACCGGCGGATCATTTTCCATCAGTTTCCGACCTTTTTGCAATTGCTCCGCGGGCTTGGTAAGGTTTCGGCCCATCGTGCGCAACAGGTCGTCCGTTAAGGGTGTGCGGGTGTTGGGCCGGGAGGCAAACCAAATCCCTGACGAAGCGCCGCGCTGCAGCCCCAAGTTTTTGTTCTTTTTAGAACCAGCAACCGCTGAGAGTGCCACCACTGTTGTGGCACGACCCGGCCCTCGGCACCGGCGGCCTATCGCGCCATACGAACTCAAGCTCGCTCGATTAGTTCGGCGCACCTGGTTTAGAGAAGGCATGTTGTTTTCACACCACTTTTTATCACCCTTCCGTGGAAAGCTCAGCATATGGTAGGGAAAGCATCCGGCTGGGATCCTAAGGCTTGGTTCTTTTCCTAGAGGTCCCTAGGTCCCAAGAGCCCGACAGGCGCGAAGGAAAAAAACCATGAGCACATTTCTTTTTCCCTAAGATCATAAGATATCATAGGGTTGGTGAGCCACCTAGCTTTGGTTACCCCGGTGCCAGGTGGTTACCCCGCCGGTGCTGGGCGGCTACCTGAAATTCTAACGAGAATAACATCAAAACATTTAACTTCGTCGAATATCAGGGGGATCTAGAGCAAATCCTATGTATTGAGGGGAAATCTATTTTTTTAATCAGAAGCCCCAGGCGCACGCCGATTCCGAGGATCGGCGCGGCATTGCGCTCGGCAGAGCGCCGCAAACGAAACACCTACCCCGAGCTCAGCGGCCCGGGCCCCGCGAACTCGGAGGCGCGCAGCTTCCTGCCCACCCGTGTGCGCCTCCGGAGTCCCCGCGCACCAGCTGCTTTGCGCCCGAGCTCAGCCAACGGGTGGGCACGGCGTTGGTTGGGCCTGTTGGCCGTGGCCTGGCCCACAACCGCGACTGGGGCCGCCAGGGACCCGCCGTTGGAGCGAGTCCTCGACCTGGCCGACTGCGCGGGGCCAGCCATAGAATCCGGGAGATAACATACTTGATTGTTGATATGCGCGCCCTGCCAAAGAGTGAACGTACCCCGAGCTTCTTCGCACGCTGCCGCGTGCGTTCCGCACCACCTTTGCTGGCGCGTGTGCCGCTGCCTGTGTCCAGCGGTGGTCGGCCGCCCTCAGCTTCGCCGTAGCTATAGCGCAGCAGACGTCGACGGGCAGCCACCTAAGCTTGGCAACCTCCTGCGCGCACCTCTCCAGCCGCCACCCCGCGCGCAGCCAGCCGCAGCTAGCCTGCGGGCAGCCCGCGCGTCCAAGTTTTGTGCGCTTTGGACTTCTGTGGACTGCCTTGGACAACTGCGTGTGGTTCTGGACTTGGTCTTGGCCTGGCCCGCGCGCTGGGACCGCGCGAAACTCCTGCAAAGAGGTCCGAGGGAAACAAAATACAAGATCATATCCGGATTTGTCATGCTGCTTGTACCCATAGGCTGACCATCAACACTGATTTTTGGCTGCTTGTTCGGCGCCGTGTGCCTGGGCTGCGTCTTCAACGCCACCCGTCTGTTGATACGTTTTTGCGACGCGATCTCATCCCCACGTTGGATGCAAAATTGGCCCAGCTTGATTGCTTCGAGCATGGGTGGGTCGGTGATCCTGCACTCGATCCATCTGAGCGCGGCCTCGTCGTGCTGGGCGTGCCCATTGGGTCGCCCGACTTCGTTCGCAGACACCTTCGCTTCACCCTCGAGCGTCAGGCATCCTTGCTGGACCAGCTCCCTGCATTGGAGGATGCCCAGGTCGCATGGCTATTGTTGTCCTTCTGCGCTGCACCGCGCATGCAATATGCTCTGCGCACAGTGCCGCCCCTTCTCACCGAAGAGTTTGCAGCTGGTCACGACCGTGCCGTCTTGTTGTGCCTCGCAGCCTTGCTGTATCTTACTGTCGCAAGGTGCCGACTCTGACTCCCTGCCACCTCTCGCTGCTGCTAGGGCTCAGCTTGCGCTCCGGCACGGCGGCCTGGGTCTATTGGGCTTCTTGGGCAGACAGCCTCCAGCTTTTTGCACGCCGTGAGCCCGCCTTTGCTGAACGCCTGTCGGCGTCTTTGGCGGGCAGCGACTCGCTACCACTTGCCCTGGACTCCCTTCGCCTGGCCGGCCACTCCTTGTCCGCCGCAAGTTTTGAGTTGCCCACATGGCAAGACTTGTCGCGCATGCCTCCCCCCCAACAGCATGATGATGACCCGGGCGCCGACGTCACTCGTGGATGGCAGCGGTCAGCGTCCCGAGCTCTCGACGACTTCGGTGACCGGGCCCTCCGTCGCGAGCTCGACCCAACATCGGCCGCCATGCTTGATTCCCGAGCTGGCCCATATGGAGCTCTGCCTCCCGTCGCCCCTTTTTAGGATGCTGCCCCCTTGCACCTGCAGCTTGCCGATGCCGTCGTGGCTTGGACGCCCTTGGTGACCATGTCGCGGCATGCCCGCGCTCTGGGGTACTGCGTTCCCGTGGCGGGCCCCTCGAGCGAGCAGCGGCCCGTGTTTGCCGCGAAGCAGGAGCCTGTCCAGCAGCACGTCCTCCTTCAGGACTTGAACGTCGAGCCTGGGAGGCCAGACGAGCGCAGAATAGAGGTCATTGCCAAAGGCCTTCCCCTTTGGAATGGAGCCCAGGTCGCCGTTGACACCACCCTCGTCGCACCACTCACCTCCACTGGTGCTCCGCGCCGCCTCCGCGGTCGCACTGCATGGCCAGCCCTCCAAGTTGCCCGTCGAGCCAAGGAGCGGGCGTACCCCGAGCTTGTTGCTTCCCGGCGGCGCCATCTCACTGTGGAGTTCCGAGGCGGCCACCTTCGCCCGCCTGTTTGCACGCTGCCGCGCTCGGGCGGTACCGGCCCCTTCTCGCGCAGCGTGCACATCCGCCCTCGCACTTCGTTGGTCGGCCATCTTGTCCATCACAGCCGCACGTGCGTTTGCCGCTAGCCTACTTGGGCTTTCCCTGGCCGGCACTGGCAATGTTGATGTCCCACCTCTCGCCAGCCGCATGCCCTGAAGGGCCCAGCCGGTGGATTTGTGGACTTCGGCCGCTTCGTGTTGCTCACACCGCCCGTGAGCTGTCTGCACTGGGACCGCGGTGACTGTTTGCAAAATGGTCCGTGAAAAAAAAATACAAAGTATCAAGACGTTTTGCGAGAAAAGAATTCCGCTATTGAGCAGCAAGAGTCCTCAAACAACCGGCCAGCGGTCAGTGACTACAATGTGAAACAAAACGAAGAAAAAAATCCTTACATGATCGCTTCCGCTTGGTCACGAAGACCCGCAGCTTCAAGCAGGTTATCTTGCAAAATTTCAATGGGTAGAGATTAAATAAGACCACACAAAGCCGGAAAATGCGTTCTACGGCACGTCGTTGAGCAAATGCTCACATAAAGAATGACGCGAATCAAGATTGACATTGCAACAGCAATGTGGCGTAGCATGGCAAAGCCAGCATTCAAGATCAGTCAAGTTTGACAACTTGTCGTCAAAAATCTGCGCAAGTGGACATCTAATCCAACCAGCAGCATCTATACAGTGAAGCGATGCGCAGTGAAGACGATCAGTGTTACATCCGCAGCTGAGCGCGGCTGTGCCGTTGCACGAATGTGACACTGAGGTCATTCAATCCACATCATATTGGCCGCCAAAAAAGTCATCCACATAGATCGCGAGCCATCTGGCAGAGGCATCGAAAGAACGGTTCCACTTGGTCACCTGGGATGTGAACACGGCATACTAGGAGTTCTTCCCTGTGCCTTGGTGCGCTTGGGGCTATTGGCTCCTGAAATTTTGTGGCTGGAGGTGGCCATGTACGGATTGGATACCCGTCCTATACCCGTCCTAGGGACTGGACTCAGCATCGCGCGGATGTTCTGTCCAAACTGCGCTTGAAGGTGCCAAATGGCATCTTGATGCTGAAGAAATCACACCTTGATTCCTCGGTGTACATCCAGGTTTGTAAATCTCAATAGGAGACCTGCACCAGGAAGAAACGTAGGACCCCCCGTGGCGTACGTCGTGATCCTCTTTTTACGGGCCGTCCCTCTGGACTCCGGGGAGGGCATTGCTGCATTGTACAATGCGACATTTGCATCTTGCCTTGATGGTAAACACCAACTTCATTGCACCCGGAGCCCTTTGGTGCCCAGAGCCACCATATCGTCCTCATCCCTCTGAGTGGTCTCACGCAGCGCTCTCTTGGTTTGCAGTAAGGCCGTGGTTTTCTCCACCGTGGCCTCAAGCCAGTCGGGCCCCCGCTCACGCACCGCTTGCTCTGTCGGAATGGTTTTGGTTTGGAATACTACTTCCAACGACGGGATTCCCATGTCAACTTCAGCCACTTAAACATCGTCCCCTTTTTCTTCTTTGAGACGGAACAGCTTCTTTTCCAAGGCACAAACTTGTCGAGAAAGCCCGCCCAGCAAAAAACCGGGTCTCTGAAGATCCTGTTGGGTGATCCTCAGGCGAGTCCAATTGCCCTTTAAACACTGTCCGCTACATGAGGCCTTAAAGTTTAGTTGTCACTCAACTAATTGCTCGGACGATTGCGTTGTGGAAAGAAGCGGTGCCAGGCGATGCTATCCAGGATCCATTGGAGCAAATGGAGCCCTCAACAATGCAAAGTTGGCCGCACTACTTTGTTAAAGTTCATGCAGCCTTACTGTGTTGATGCGCGTCGTTGCGTCGTTGGCATGCCACGTAGACAGCTGGAAAAAGAAAATCCATGGTCATTGCCTAGCAGCATACCCTTTAAGCTCCTTTCGTAAGGCCAGCTTGCATGGAGGGAACCTGCCCAGTGACGACAATAGCTGGAAGGACGAGGTAGCGATTAGCAGCCAGGATGAATGGTTCGAAATTGATGCTCGTGGTTCACAGCCGCCGGTGGTGATGAAAGCTTCTGGGAATTGGCGTGTTTTGAAGTTCCAATAAGGCGTTGGGTTGGAGCTTTTGATCATCGAGCAATGCCTTGCTGAGGAACCACAATGGGGAACCGAAGGCTTTTTGTTAGGGGTTACATATGGCTTTGGAGGCGGCACGTGCGTCTGGCTCACCAAATTTGTGTACTTGAAGTTCGAGTCTCCTGACGCAGCCGTTTGAACAAACAATTTCAAGAACCCTGGGAACCGCCTTGAACATCTCGTAACTCCCAAATCTCCCCCGTGCCAAAACGTGCCGAATACACAGTGCGATTCCGAACGACGCTTACTACCCCTTACCCGAGCCCCTGGTGCTTCCGATGCCCAATAGGACCGACAAACGAAGCTGCGGGCTGCCTAAAGGTCTAAACGATTGTTGTTGGCTATTTGGGATAGTCATGTGTTGGAAGCCCCCCAGGCATCTCATAGAGAAGTGACATGTCAGTGGTTTAGGCCTATTCGCCCCAGACTGCCATTTCATAGCCCACGTTCCCTAGAAGATGGTTATCCGAGTTTTATCCGGAGTCGGCCTGGGGTATTCGAGGAAGATTTATACGGATTATTCCTGTACACAAAACCAAGATTCTTCATTTTTTTTATGCCTGCATGAAGGGTTTTGGTCCGGTCCGGACTACACTACAAGGCCACCAGTCTTGAGCTGTGCCGCCGCGGCAGGGCTGGCTACGCCCGGAGTGGCAGCCTGCTGCCGGCATCCGCGCC